AAAGAAAGAAAGAAAGAAAGAAAGAAAGAAAGAAAGAAAGAAAGAAAGAAAGAAAGAAAGAAAAAAGAAAAAAGGGACAGAGAGACAAAAGGAAGGAAAAAGAGAGAGAGAGAGAACACATGGCTGGCAAGCCACTCCCACCAGGTCACATGGCCGGCAAGCCACTCCCACAAAGGAGGCCACACCCACAGAGTAGGCTCGAAAATTTTTTGAAACCGACCACTGGCCTGGGGGGAGACTCTCCCTACCCATACCCCCCACCCCGGAAGGGGAGTGTAGCTGTCCCAATCATAGCTGATCCTGGTTTTTTTCCCCTTCGGTCGGGATACATCTGTGCATCCTGCTGTTGTGGCCTTCAGCTGAGCTCTCGCCTCACTATCAGGAGGATGTGAGTTTGAGCCTAGATAGCGTTAGTTTCTCTTGCTTGAGCAGGGGGTTGGACTAGATGACCCGCAAGGTCCCTTCCAACTCTGTTCATCTGTTAATCCTCTTCTCTTCTTGAATAGAGGAAAATGAAGAACGGAAAAGAGCAGAGAAAATCCGAGATGGCAGCGAAGGTAAAGGCATGAGTGGGCTGGCTGAGCATTATGGATCTTCTGGTAGAACAAACTAGCAAATTCTCTTTTAACAGTTCCTCAAAGGTGCAAAGAGATTTTGTGCATGTGGTCACAGAGACCATGGGTCACATGGGAGAGGAGTCCTTAATTATTGGTCACGTTGTCATCAGAGCTAAATTCAGAGGAAATAATTCTTCCAGTTTGTATTTAAAAAGAAGGTTATGTTAGGGCTGCAAGGGATGGGTCTAGGGCAGGGGTCTCCAAAATTGGCAACTCTTATATATATGTGGACTGGAGCTAAAAGCAGCCTCTGTCCACAGAAGGACTGTCCTGTTGGCAGGACCATTGCTCACATCCCGGGAACAGAAACCGCCCAATCTGAATGGCTTCCATTAGGAAAGGCTGCTCATTTCGTTTAGGAGCCCCATTCTAAATGTGGCTTCTCTGTGTACATATTAATTGGCCTGTTTTTATTTCTATCTATGTTTATACTTATATATGTATCTGTGTGTGTTATATTCTGTATGTGTAGATAAATAGGCGGACGGGTGGATGAATGATGGATGGATATAGACAGATGATAGATGGATAGATAGATGGATGGATGGATGGATGGATAGATAGATAGATAGATGGATAGATGGATGGATGGATCGATCGATCGATCGATCGATCGATCGATCGATAGATAGATAGATAGATAGATAGATAGATAGATAGATAGGTAGGAGATTGATAGATGGATGGATAGGTAGAGATATGATAGAGGGAGATAGATAATAGATAGATAGATAGATAGATAGATAGATAGATAGATAGATAGATAGATAGATAGATAGATAGAT